AAACCCTATCCTAGCGAACATGGCAGTTCCCTTGAAGTTGTCCTTAAAAACAATCCACAACATTATAGATCATGATGGTCATAACTAATTATAGCCATAATTAGTTATGACCATTATGGTTCTTTATAGCCATAATTATAGTAATTGCCATAGAACTGTATGCTGTTAACATTTGAGGGTGTTAACGAGCTCGAGTTTGCCAACAGGGTCAAGCAATTAATCTTTTTCGGTAGCTACAGTATCTTGAGGAACTTAGAGAAGGCCAAGAAGTTCCATGGGGACAGCGAAGCGAAAAATCAAGGAGGTTTTCAGGTCTAGCCAACCAAACATCACCCAGCAGTACACTGTAGTTTTAGTTTTTTTTTCTTATTTGGGTGCTGTTCGGCTTTGGGGTAGGGGGAGCATTTTGCTAGTTCGCCAGCTCTTCAGCTTGTTCTACATGATGAGAACTGTGAAAGTCCTGTAAAGCTGCGAAATGGTGTGAGCTTCGTTATGCATTACCTTTCATTTACTGATAGTTAGAATCCTATAAAGGTTGCTTAACTTCATTGCATAACTTCACAGTAATAATGCGTCCTTGCGCTGATGATACTTAGAAAGTTGCCACTGTGAGGCCAACAGCGCCATTTTTTGACGAGTTTTAACCATTTATTGGTTAATTTATCGGTATATTAGTGCTGCTGTACGATACAACACGTCTTGGGAAGGAGGAGAGGCAATGAGTGACTTTTATAAAATCCTGTAATGGAACATGTTACGAGTTTAATTTTCAAACCACTGTACAAATTGAACCACCCACCACGGTGCTTCTTTCCCCTAAGCTTCATTTGCAAATCTCTCGATGGTGCAGAAATAAAGGAAATAGTATTTCAAAGGTGTTTCATAGGTGTCATATATTTTCTCTGCATTTTTTCTACTTGACCCCCGTCGGAACTCGCACCATATCGTAACCGTACAAAAATTGAACAAATTCGGCAGAGCTATCAAAGGACTATTTTTTGCCATTGTGATTTTTCTCACACCTAGTTTGACTTAATCCCAGACCTCAAATGGTTGGTGGTCCTCAAATTCTCTACAGTATCTAAGTTCGCGGCGCCGAACACGTTTCAAACCCTGTGACACACATGGTGTGTCATACATTTTCCCTCGCGCTGTATTATATGACCTCTTTCGCAAAGTTAGTACACGTTTTTGGGCACAGAATAGAATATCACGAAGGAAAAAATAAATGAAATTATTGGTTATCGACGTAAAGTGACGAAATGGGGGGGACCCACATAGAACCGTTGTCCATAATGTGCTAGTATATTTTCCAGGCCACACTCACAAAGGACGTGGTAGGGGTTGAATTAGGGGCTAGCCTCCCTTAGACAGGGCAAGTCATCACGTTGTGATCGTTTTCTGGAGGATACGAATCTCCTAATTCTATCCCGAATACGACCCTCTCATGCTACCTACCACTTTTCTGAATTTTTCCAACTTCCCCTACCAAATGTTCCCAAAATATTTCCAGTTTTTGCAGCCAAAACTTGTCGTGGGCGGGGGGGGGGTAGGTCAGTGACTTCCACGAGAGGTCACGGCTGCCATGTCTCGCCTCGCCGTGCGCGGCGATTGCAGCCTGATTTTACTTGACCAAGTATGGTCGTGCGATTAAGATCCCGGTCCCTTCACATAGTTCTGGCATCACGCAAATCTGCTTGGGATTTTTCCAAACCAGAATTTTCAATGGGACGACAGTATTTTTGAATGGCAGCTGTGTTATTCGACGGATTGCTGTATTTCCTCAACACGACCTACTTTTACCGTCTGGCCGTAAATCTTAAACCTTACAATACCTTACATTAAGGTGAAAAGACAAAAGAATCACTTTGAAAATGAATCTTTGTCAGATTGCTGCATGTATTCTCTAAATGATTATTTCTATTGTATTAAATGACGTGTTACTCGTTGTTTTGGACTTAATTAGGGAACATCGGGCCTACTCCTTTCATAGTCTTCACACCTGCAAGTATAAGGCAGACGGTTGGAAATCTCATGAACTATGCAAATGAAAAAAATACATAGCGAAAGCATCGCGGGGCCCACCTCTCGTCCGCCGCGGCGGCGGCAGGCTGACCTCTCGTGGAGTCCTAACCGTTCCCCGGGAGGGGCGGGGGGGTGGGGTCGTCAGGATATAACTATCATTTTCTATTTCAATGTCGGAAATAGTAGCTGTATATGTCACTGACGGTCCACTCTCTCAACAAGCACTCGCGATGACGAACCCCTGCCTCCCTTCCCCCGGTCAAAATACCCACCGTTCTGAACGGCCACCAACAATGGGCGTGTCCTGTCTTTAATTATTAGTGGTACAGTTATAGGAGCTGAAACAGTAGCTTCTTAATCTACTTATTGTTCAGTATTCGACAGACCCTTGCGCGATGAAGAAACGTGGCTGACCCTAGTGACCTTCATTAGGCGCACAGTTAGCTTAGCTGGGCCGAGATGGAAGTTTCATCGAAACGATTGCGGAGCATGTATTAATGCGCATCGATTTGAAGGAGATATCAGTTTGTCATTTTTTCGCCGAATTTTTTTATTCAACATTGTCGTAATGCATTTCAGTAATACCGTTCCTAACTATCGAAGAGGAAGTTCACTTGGTGAAGCTTTTCTGGTATCAATGCATGGGATTCAAAGGAATGCAGTGAGGCAAACGTACTTAAAGTGGACAGATGGACGTATCCCTTATACAATTAGTTCACAGTATTCATCATACAGGTAAGCTCTGTGCCATGCCATCATAAGCTCTGTGCCATGCCATCAAAAGATTTCGCTCAACCATTCAACTGTTGTTTTGAAAATCGTACCTCTCCCTATATATTGAATGATGCTGCAGTGCCACTGAAACTTGGTGCTTTATGCTAGCTAGAGCTCGGTTGTTTGCTAGACCAGTGGAGGGTTAGGTGGTTACGTTCGGACCACTACTGAGAAATAACTCTGACCGCAGCGATCCTGCTGCGTCAAAGTTCTGGTTTTGTTTAACATGTTCTGGAACGCGTGACACACATGGTGTGTCATGCATATGTCTCTATGCGGTACTTTATTTGACTGATTCGGCAGTTGTTAAATATCCTAATGTTTGTGACAATACCTTTCTCATTTAGCGGAGGTAATAAGGGCCTAGAAGAAAGGAGGAAATTATTGATGAACTAGTTGATTTATCGTGATGAAAAAGAAGAGGAAGTGGTCGACAGTGCCTTATATTGAGCCCTCCTTTCTGTGCTGGATATCAAGCGAGGGACGAAGATTCGTTGTTACTTCAAGCGAGGAAACAGACAAGAGAGATGAGAAGCATTTCTCACAAGTCGCGGTGATGTAGGCATTGCAATCGAGGTGACGTATGCAGCATTCGTGCCAGGACCCAACCATTTCAACGTGCAGCGGATGGACTCTGTCGACTCTCTCTCGGTCTGCGCTCTCAGGCCGACTAGCACTTTCTGTGCCTCTGTCTGTCTTGTCAGCCAGCTACGAAATACACCTATAGTGCGCACAATGCAGCTATTCCAAAGTAAGCTCTGTACCACCGACAAGAACGATGAAGGGCAACGGGCGAAAGCAAGCAAGCGGCGACAGGGGGCGGGGTTATTGTGTTCAGTGGAGCTACTTGAGCAACCCCAAGCTTTAACACCCCTATCTTACACCTTTCTGGCACGAAAGTGATACACAATTGTTCTCTGTAATCCACATTACCTTTACCACAGGGCTTTGTGAGTGATTCTGGAATGTGAATTTAGCCTCGTGGGGATGCACTAATGTAACTTGTGGCAAACTCTAGCGAACGACCAGAATAACAAACACAGCATTATATCGGCATTACTCACAACTGTCTACTCTCCATTTGTGAATAGCTTGGCCTTCCTCCAGAGCATGCGAGCGAGGCTAGAATTGCACCGTCTTAACCGCTATGGATGCTGGAGCCTGTCAAGAGGAATGGGAAAGGGTTCAGTCTAGCGCAGCGCTAGCCTGTTCTCCCCCACTTGCTAAAAGCGCAATTAAGAATAGTACATCTCATTTCCCAAGATGGCAGGGGTGTCTTCGCAGCTAATTTAGCTCTGACTTGATCGCGACTGCCCTTTAGTCGGTATACTGCCGTTTCAGGACAATTGTTATCATGTCGTAGGTAAGCTTCAGATCGAGCGGTGGAGCTTTCTTAAACGGAAATGTCTTTCTTGCACTAGGAACGTATTGTGAATGGTGTACGGAGCCACGCCCACTCCAACTGTGGGATAAGGAGTGTATGTAGCCTGAATGGAATCAAGTAAGGTAGTGGTACAATTGATGAGCACTATACACTATTTGCGTGTAGGAGACCGTAGGAGACCACCTTAGGGGGTCTTTTTTGAACTATTTTTTGAAGGATGTTCTATGAGTATGGATTTTCACTCTTTTCCACGTAATGTCATCATCTGTCTTTCAGCCGATCGAAAATAGCCGAAGCTATTGAGGAATACCGAAAAAAGACCTGCATCGATTTCTCACCGAAAAGTGCTGCTGATCAGGACTACATACACATAGTACCAGATGACGGATGTTATTCATTAGTCGGCCGGATCGGTAGGTTGCCAATCTTTATGAATTCTTGCTGTTCAGACTCAAGATCCCTCACAAGGGACCAGTCTAATTCACCGTGCTCCTTTCCTCTCATTATGTAGCAGCGATTTTTGTCACTGGTCTTTAATAGGATCAATTATTCCATTGGAAATGGCTGCCAGTCGAAACCATACGAAACCAGCTTTTGCCTTGTTTCTCCGCACAATGTCCTTTGAAACCCGCTATGTCAACGTTACATGAGATAGCTTGCCGAAATGAAGAAAGTTTAGGAGGAAAGCAACCAGTTAGCCTTGGTGATGGCTGCATACAGAAAGGAATCATCATCCACGAACTCATGCATGCTGTTGGATTCTTTCACGAGCAAAGTTGGTTTTTTCTCGGAATCGATTGAATAATCGAAGTAGATCATGTGGCTCATAAGAAACTATTTCACACAATCATAAAGGATAAATGATAAAGTCTTTCCATTAATCGATCCCGGCGCAGTTCGGCGACGGGGGGGGGGGCATTTTTCTTCCTGTGTCGGCCCATCAATACAGCCTTTTCTTGAGTTGACACGTTCTACCATGGTGGCTAGACGAGTTGCTTCACAAGAGTTTACAAGTTCCACCAAAGTGA